ATATTTATCGATATAAAGCTATCGATATTGTTATCGCCTTTACTTGCTCATCATTTCTCGCAGATATCTATATAAATTTATACCAACTTAAGATAAATTTACGAATACTATATAAAGTCTATTTCAAAAGTCTGATTCTATTATTCTTGAGTGCGTAGTCTCTCCCAAACACTTCATGGCCAGAGCAAACCTTGTCAATCATCGAAAATTGTATTATTATTGAAAGAGTATATATATTGAAAGAGTATTTGAAATTCACCCCAAAGCTCAAACTTTTCCATTTTTTCAACACTTCGTGTCACAAAGGACAGCCAAAGCCAGCGGCGTTCGTTAGATATGCAAAAATAAAAAAGTCGAAAAAGTATGGGCTACACTATGCTACATGGAGCTCGGGCAATTGAGTTATGAACGCGCGTGTGTGGGTGTGTGTGTGTGTGTGATGCGTAATTAGGCAAAAACATATTACTTTAATGACTGGGACATGCAGCTAGCCAAGATTTAATTATGAGGCAACAGCAAGCGGCCAAGCGGGCAAATTGAATTCTGGCTGCCAAGCGCAAAAGGACGCAGGACACAGTACCAGCTACAGCTACAGCAGCAGCAGCAGCAGCTGCCCTCAATGCCACGCCCACAGCGGCAAACGCCCACTCTATAGTAAACTCTACCAAAATTGACCATTAAAATCGTTTATGCATTTTGTGTGCTGCTTGCTGCTCTAATTGGTTTTGCTGCTGCTGCTGTTGTCGTTGCTGTTGCTGTGCAGCATGAGAGAGGCCATAATAAAATATTATTATTAGAAATTAAATTTTTATGCGTGTTGCTAGCGCGCCTTTTATTGCACACTTTTAGGTGATTGGCTGCAGTCAAGGAAGTCGTCAATTTTAATGCCAGAACTTTGAATTCGAAATGAAACTGAGTAGGTAGACTATTGGAGTATATAGCTTAACGTACACTAGCTAACATGAGTTGTGTTTACCTAGCCCAACTGGAAATCTATTTAAATTCAAGTTAATTTTATGAGACGTCTTTAGTTTAATGTGAGATGAGTAACGAGTCGAAGATAAACACAGAGCACAAGACCGCAAAATGCAAGCCACACACGTACACACACTCACACATACCCACACACACACACATGGGAGCTGAGAATGTGTCTCTGTCAGGCAGTTATCGCTGAATTATGCGGGCTGTTGACAGAGGAGTTCGTCTATGGCTAAGTGTGGGCTAACCCAAGTGCTGAGTACGCTTAGCCTAAGCCACAAGTACACACACCAACACACACACACACACACGCAGTGAATGCTAAATGACACAGAGAAATTCAATGTCAAAGCGTTGGCGCACAAAAGAATGCTACGATGTGTAGAAGAAGAAGAAGAAGCGGCAAGACGAGGCAAAGGACGAGTACAAACGGACATGGACATGGACACGGACAGTAGCTAGTTGCGTCAATGGTGATGATGACAATGATGATGGCAGCCAGACACACACACACACATACATAGAGAAAGAGAGAGGAACACACATACACACTTACGGCGTCGTTCACACAGCTAAATGTGAAAAAGTTTGATTTGCAGCCGGAGAAAGGACGCAGGAAATGGTCTACATGGAAAAAAGATGTTGAAATATATGAGGAAAGCAAGCAGAAAGTTTTTTTGCGTTGCTGCGGAAACGGAAATAGAATTATAAAAGCCAAGCTAAAGACGTTTACACACCATACAAAAAGCAAATGCCAACTTAAGGGGTGAGCCAGCGAGCGAGACAGAGCCAGAGAGGGCGCAGGAGAGACACACATGTCGAGCAGATAAGAAAACTGTTTGCCAAAGGCTTAATGCTATGGCTGTATATCTGTGTTTGTGAGCAGGGGAAACTTTTTGCCAAGTTCGTTGGGGCGCAAAATTTATGAACAGACAACCACAAAACTGTGTGTGCCATGGGCGGGGAGTGTGGGGTGGGCTTGAATCAAAAATGAAGTGCGATTTATGGTCATACAAATCAAAGTTTGGTGCTTGAGTTGATTGCTAACAATCTTTTGTATGCCAGTGTTGCTGGAAATGCGACAAGCGGCAGCAGGAGATGGCGAGAGGGCGTTTTAGGCTTGACTATGAATGGAAATTCTGTAATATTTGACACTCGCTTGGCTGACTGCAGGTGTGGCCAAAGAGATTTGTGGCACAAATTAGTTGAAAACGCTCTGAAAAATGAGGTGATAAATTTGGCAGAAACTTTTCAATTGAATGGGCTTGCCGGGCTTGCTTTATGAACAATTATCAAAGCTGTGGTGAAATTTTGCTAGCATTTTGCCACAGCTCAGCTGATCTGTGTGAGGCACAAAAACTTTTGCAAACCAGCTGGCGAACACACATTTACACACACACACCCACACACACACATAGCCAAGGGGCGTTAATGTGAATGGCCAATACTCAAGTTTCCAGCGGTTTAGTTTATGAGTTTCAATTTGGAAACGAACGAGGCATTGGCTACGGTTTAGGCCTTCGTCGGGCTTGTGCTGTCATGCATTTATTGAGTCACTAATTTGACTATTGTTCGCCCCAGGGCCCAAGGGAGATTGATTTGAAGTGTTTGCTCAGCTCAGGTGAAATGCTTTCCGGCCAGATGAAAGGATTGATGTGATTTAAGTGATTACAAACTTTAAATGAGAATCCAAGGGGAAATCAAAGTAAAATGTGAATTGAATGAGGTCCCGAAATAGAAAAGACCTCGGCCAAGATAATTATAGTTCATATATATGTTTGCACATCATAATTAAATTAAAGTAAATATGCCTTGCTTTAATTATAATCAAGTTAGCTCGTAAATCTCGGGTTGAGTTCAGCTTTTTAAGCCTTGGCAGCCAGTTAAGTTCAGACTTTGGCTAACCCAGGCACCAGCAGCGGCAGCCAAACAAAGGTTATGTGTGCAGTCCTAACGATAGCCCGCATCACCTTAGGCCAGAGCCCCGACCCTAGCCCAAGCCCAAGCCCTAGCAAGTCGGCGACGCATTTGGCACGGCTAATTCAGCACAACATACGACGCATTACAGTTATAGTGGCAGGACAATCAGGACGAGCAGTTCGGGCTGTGGCGTTGCAGAGGATTTGCTACTTGAGAAATTGAATATTTCACATGTCTGTTTGAATTTTATACAGCGCAGAGGAAGGCAGCAGCGGAAAAAGGAAGTCTACCAGAGAAATAGAAGATAAAAATAAGAGAAAAGAAAAAAATGTGCGAAAACCTAACCAGCAAACCAAATAGGAAAATTGAAAAATACAAAAAAGAAAATAAAATTGAGAAAGGAAAAAATAAATCGAGAGAAGCTGCTGCAGCAGCAGCACCAACAAGAGAAACGTGAAACGCCTGGGCGCCTAATTTAATATTCCACAGAGCAGGAAATTTGTGGACTAGAGAGAGATAGACAGTCGAAATAGAGGCAGACAGGAGTAGAGAAAGGACAGGCAGACAGACAGTTCAGGCACAACTGATTGTCGTTTATGAGAGAAAGATAGATAGAGTGAGAGAGAGAGAGAGAGAGAGTCGCTGATCCATGCCCTAACCTGCTTACCCTTTTTGCTCCTTTATAATAGTTTACACTGACAAACGAGTAAAATAAATGATATATTTTTATCATATGTAAACACCCACACGAACATAGGAACTTCTATCAAATGAAGCGTAAATTTCAAATTATCTTTAAGGCTTTTAAGCTGATAAGTAAATTGTTTTTTTATGTGTTTTGAAACCCTTGAAAATAGGTCAAAAGGAATTCTTGGAAACAAATTTCAGAATACAGTTTGAATGTTAAATCAATCAAGAAGCTAAATTATTATATAAATGTTGACATTTTTTTATTGACACAGAGAGACACAGAGCGAGAAAGAGAGAGAGAGAGAAAGCGAGAACTCTAGAATTAGAGAGAGAATTTCAATAGAGTCATCGATATACCCAAGTGTACCTATATGTACCTACATGGACCTATGTGTACATCTGTGTACCAACGCGTCTCTATGAGTACCAATGTCTACAGAAGTGTACCTATATGTACCTTTGTGCACCTTCAAGTCCCTACTGTAAGAATTCCATTTATTCCTATTGAAAATCATGATTACACAATAAATAAAAAATATATTATTTTTTCGCTTATGTTGACCAATAAGACCCCTTAGAGCTAGCCACTAAGCCAATGGCCAGGCTAAAAACTTAACTTCCCATACCATATGCTTGGCCCTCTGACTAAGGACAACAAATCAAAAGCCCATATTTGCTTTGCATAGTTTGTGGACACGAGCAAAGCAAACGGAACGCAAGAAGCGGCCAAAATCGAAACAGAGAAACCCATAAATAAATCAATGCAGGGCAGAAGAAACGGAGAAAAGAAGAAAAGGGAGGAGAATATGTTTGGCCATAATGTAAACATTTAAATTTACATGCCAGTCGACTTTGAGGCTGGCAGACGAGCGAAGAGAAGAACGAAATAAAAGAAAGAAAGAGCCAGAAATAATATTTATGGCCTACTTAAAGGCTTACTTAGGCGCCTCAGCCGCTCTTAGGGCCACTTTAATTTCAATTTTCGAAAATTTGCATTGCTCTTTGGCTCTCTGGCGCTGTGAGCCACTGTCTAACAAACTGGTTGCCATGCAAATTGAATCATTTTTGTTCATTTCAACAGCAACTCAATTTCGCCATGGAGACCCATACAAAAAAAGAGCTTTCTCTTTCTGTGTGAGTGTGTCTGTGTGCGTGTGTGTGGGAGTCTTGAAGGTGTCTCGAGCAAAGGAAAAATGTGTCGTTCTTTTGAATTTATGATACTAAACACACAACACGCGCTGAGCCAAAGGTTGAATAGGGACTTTATTCATATGGCTGCGCTCCATTTGAATGGCCCAGCGATTGTATACTGTGTACTCTAGAGTTCACTGCGTGCACTGCACTTTTGCTGCCTCGTTTTGTGTTGAATAATAATAATAATTTTTAACTTTCTTGCTCACCTCTTGCAGATCGCACCATCAGCGAACATGAGAACAAAAATGTGGTCCTCCCCTGTCCGGTGAATGAACAGAAATGCGGGAAGCTGCACTCGCTCAACTGGTTCAAAGGCGACGATCGCATTGCGGCAATGCTGCTTGGCGATAGTAATGTGACAAGTGTGAATGATGAGTTTAAGAATAGGTAAGACTAGCCAAAATGATAAGAATCTAACGAGAGCTGTAACTATTTGTATGCACCATTCTTTCAGAGTGACTGTTGAGCAAAATCCATACAGATTAGTTATTAAGGACTTGAGAATATCTGACGAGGATATATATCTATGTGATACAACATTTTTTATACCAGAAGAAACGTGTGATAACTTCAATGGCTATCGTGTCGAATTGAGAGTCTTAGGTAAGTTACTAACCAAGCCACCGCTCGCCTCTGCCTTTTGCATGTTTCCATAACTGCTCAAACTCATCTCGCTTAATAACTATTTTTGATTTGCGCTTATGTTTCGAGTATAACTTGTAAAATGCTTTCGTATTCTGTTTGCTTATTGAATCTAATTAAACTAACTGCTAAACTAACCTATAAACTGAACGCATATCATAAATAATATATATGTTTTGTGCATGGAATTTGTATGGAGCGGCAAAAGCAACTGCAAGGATCTTGCATGTTCAACGAGCCTCCGATCTAAGCGCGTTTTATGCTTACTGTGTTTGTCCTCGCCCCAAAATAACAAAAATATTTTGCTTAATTTTGTGCAATCAAATGGAAAATGCAATCAAAAGGTTTTGTTTAAAAAATTTAGATAAATATTTTGAAATGTTATTTGTAGCTTCAAACATCCCATAGAGCTGTAATAAAATCTTAAAATATAATATTTATGACTAAATGTCAACTAGCATTTAGCTGTCAATTTCCTAAAATTGTTGCAATTTTTCTCTATTTTTATTGAGCCACCATAAAGCAGAACTATTCATTCAATTTGTATAAGAACTTTGAGCAGTTCCACAACAATTTACAATTCAAAATAACTTCAAATTGCCAAATCGATTGCATTTTCACTTTGACTTTATTTCAATGCAAGTGAATATACAAATAAATATACATATATCCATATGAAAATACTTTTTTTGTGCCTGCCTGCCTAAAACATTCTATTTTGTATATATATAAACTAAAACTAAACCAAATATAACTTTTATGCATTAGTATATATATATGTATATGAAAATGTTCGAAATCCCTTGCAGAGTGCAAATCGAAAACTTTACTTTTAACCGCTCTACTCTTTTACCATAACATTTGAACGTGTCAAAACTCATGCAAATATTTTCTCTTAACTGATTGTCCCACAAAAACATAAAAAAATAAAAAAAAATATCTGAAAAATCGCATACAAACGCTCGTCCACATCGACATGGAATTTCAATATATATACATTACACAACTATCTATATATATCTATATATGTATTTCTATATATATATATATGCATTGCTATCAAAAACTCAAACAAATTCGCTCCACCAAAAACTAAAAACTAACAACAAATATACCAAAAAAATCAATACATGACAAAAACCGAAAAAAAAACAACATAAAATGAAACCAACAAAAAAAAAAACATAAATCAAATTCCACGCCACGCCCCACTTCTGTTCATCAACACCGCCTCCTTTCGATTCATACGTGTGCACCCACCAAAAAAATTGATTTCCTACTCCAAAAAACTGTATTGAACTGTGTGCTCTGCCCCTCACTCCCCCACCCACCTGAAAAACTTTAAACTGATGTGAAACTCAACCTAAAACAAATAACTTAAATTCCAAAAAACGCTTTAAATTAAATTTGATTTCTTAAAACTAAAACAAAAACCAACATAAAATCAAAAATCCAAAACCAAACAACCAAACGTTTTTGGCTATGCATTTACAAAAATAAAAATAAATATAAAAACAACTACGCAAAACTAAACGTAGAAAACCTTGGTAAATTTAACTTATAATAAACATCATATTTAATTCAATTCTCTTATCATTTTATCAATTTAGTTGACTGCCAATTAAAGCAAAAGAAATATCATTTTCTTAAGTTTTTTAACTGAATGAGAATGTTTTCATTAAATATTTTATTATTTATTTGAATTTAATTATTTTTAAATATTTTATTTATTATATTTAGCTCATTCAAAGCTTTTCATTTGAAAAATTAATTCTATTTAATTAATTTTTATTCATTTTCATTTAATTACTCCTCCTAATTTCTTATAATTTCTGCTAATAATATTTTTTATATACAATGCAAATCAAATATGATTTATTAAAAACACAAATTCAACATTTTTACCTCCCAACAAAAAAATGAAAAATATATGTAAAAATGCAAAAATGAAAAAAAATTGATTTGAACTACGCACGAACAAACACACACCCATACAAACACACACACACACTCACACATACACACACTAACACACGAATGTGGTTGGATGTTGGATGTGCAGTGCCACCCACTGAGGTCGTGATTTTGGACGCAAAGGGTGACCGCATCGAGAATGGCAGCATCGTGGGACCCATGCAGGAGCGCCAGAGCTTGAAGGCAACCTGTACGGTGAAGAACACACGACCCCAGCCAGATGTGGGCTGGTGGCGTGGCAGCAAGCGGCTGGCCACATGTGAGTATTGCCCTTAACCAACTAGTATGTGGCAAGAAGGTAGCAAATCGCATAAAGGTTTTCCTCATAAAAACAGCTGAAGCGCGTTTATTGATTCCCCCAAATGCTTGAGCAGCTCTAACTGGTTGGGGTTTAGCGGGGCTTAGCGGGGTTCGAACGAACTAAGCAGCCAATTTGATGCATAAGCAGGAGTTGGAGCTGGAGCTGGCGACGTGGTTTACGATGCGCCACAAAGTTTATGCAGTGACTGACGAGCGAGGTCATAAAGCCAGGTCCAGGCCACGGAAGGATTTGGCTGCTTATCAATGTCAGTTTTCTTCCTTTTTTTCGCCTTTGGCATAGGCAAATGTTCTCGGCCGCGCCCATAAAACGCCAAGCCCTTTTATTGTGAAGCATAAAAATAAACTTCGAGGCGATTTTCATTAAATTTTTAAGAGCCTTCGCTGCAGCTCCAGTGAAATTAATTGATTTCTATTTTAAAAGCCGAGCGAGCTGGCATCCATTACATTAGCTTAAGCAGAATTTAAAGCCGCCACTCGAAATGTTTGTGGAATTTTTGGTTTACCGTTCGCCGGCCTTGAAAGCCACTTAAACTAATTTTTATGCCCCGAAAATCCCGGGCAGCAATTTACAAAGGCAGCAACAACATTTTCATTTTCATTTTTCTTTTTTCTTTTTAATTTTCCTGTATTTAATTTTTGTTCTTGTTTCTTTTTTGTATTTTTGGCCCTCTAATTGGCCTTCGGTCTGTGGTTTGCAACCCTTGCTGAGCTGACGACGGGCCACGATTCCTGACCCAATCTTTGATTCCAGGCGAAATTTTATTTATTTTTGGTCTTAAAAGCCTTTGCTTATCATAATTGCTTGTAATTAGGAAAATAACGCACCTGGAAAAACAGGAAATGTAAAAGTTAGCAGTCACTTTAGGACGCAGCAGTCAGCATCCAGCAGCCAGCAGTGGGATCTGCTGCAAAATATACTCTGTCAAATACTTGATACTTGCTTCTCTTCGCCACAGACTCGCCTACTCATGACTTGCACGATGGCCTCTACACGTCCACGCTCGAGCTGGAATGGGCTTTGTCTCGCGACGATCTGGCCCAGGATATTGAATGTCGCGTCGAATCGGCAGCTATTAAGAATGCAATTGTTACCAAATTCGGCGTCGATTTGCAAGGTGAGTCATCATTTCGATAACGATAAACAATAAACGATAAACGTAAGCCGCAACAACTCATGCTCCGCTCTGTCTGTCCTAAAAGCCAGCTATGAGTCAGCAGCTGTAGAAATTGGCAATATATTTATGTAGGTGTGCTTAGAGTGCTTAGTTATATGAGTTGCTTAGCGAAAAGGGTTCGTTTTACGACTTTGTTTTCCAGTTTACAGTGCATAAAATACAATGTTCCAAAAGGAACGAAAGGTTGCTCATAAAATTTTGCTACTAGAAAGTCCTAAAAGTCACTAATGAAAGTTCGGGTGTAATAAATGGGATTATTCTAAATTAAATTTAATGAAAATTTATTTCATTTTTATTGGAATTATAAATTTAAAAAAAAATTACCAATGAAATTTTAAATATTTTTGCTAATTTAAAGTTAAATATTTACAATTCAATATTCAATTGAAAAAAATAATTTATTATAAATAAATATAAAAAATTTATACATAAATTGAAAGGGATACTTTTTTCTTGAAATTAAGCCAATGAATTTTGTTTAATGGCAGCAATATTTTATATCGATTCAACTTCGATTGACAAATTACAGCTTAAAGCTGTTAACTTTTTGTTTTATTTTTTACACAAAAAAAAGCATTTGATTGTGTTGCTTTAATTAACATTAATTAAAAAGCGTAATAAATTTGCAAAGGCTAAAACAACAACAGCGACAACATTCACGCGACACTTTGACATGTTTTGGGTTCATTAACCCAGCCCGAACCCAAGCTGAATTTTCGGGGCAAACCTTTTAATTGCAACAACAACAACAACAACGCCAACAACAAGAGAAACACGAACAGAATCCCTTAGGCGCCTGAAAGCGTTTTGAAAATCATGCAAATAAATTTTTTCTAATTAAATGCTGACAATATCGAGTGACATTTACTGCCTCCTCCTCCCCTCGCGATGTTCTTACTCTTCAATTTTTCATATCCCTTCCAGTTTTTTTGTCATATTGACGAATGATTTGACATTTTTTGTTGCAGCAATTAATGAATGTCATTAAGAGTAACATAAAACTAAGCCAACTAAGCCAAGTTTTTCATTTGCAAAGTGGACGCAGTCAGTTGATTGATAGCCCAACCAAACCCTAAGCCTAAAACATTTACCAATCAATTGAAAATGTAGGCAATGGCACTCGATATGAGCCTCAGGCAGCCCGCATGCAAATTGCCATTATTAATGTTTTATATTATGAATAAGTCGAGGTGGAGCGGCAGAACAAGCATAGCCTAGAGCCCAGACAAAACCCAATTACAAGTCGAGCATTTTAAGCAATTTTCGAACAGGCGCCCCAACTACTTTTCACCATTTTTATTTCCATTTCTGCAGTTCGGCCGACGAGCATCGACATCAATGGAGTGGAGCACCACACGGTGCAGGGCAGCAAAGTGGTGCTAACATGTGACGTAAGTATTGGTTGAGCTTAAAATTAAACGTAAACTTGATTTACGTGAAGCCTTGTGCTAACGAAGGGACGCCACGTTCAGGCCTAGCAGTTGCCTTAGAGTTAGACATATGGGGGAGAATTTAATGGAATACATAATAGCTCGTATAGAACACTCAATATGGTGTAGATCTACATATTCTGAAAGGTATAAGAAAATATAAAAGTTAAGTAATATGCCTCTCGATAAGTAACTTTTTATATCTTTTTTTCTTTATATCTTTTATTAGAAAAATTTAATATAAAATAAAATATTCTTTTCATAAAAACATTTTTTTATATTTGTATATGTAATAATAAAATATAATCAAAATATTTTTAATCTAGCACAGAATCTACACATTCTATAGCAACTAGCTCGGAGTTTAGACTTTTTATTATATACTTAAATATCATGTGCCAGAAACAAAATTCCAATCAAGCATAATTTTTAAAGATTTCGCTTAAGAAATTTATTCAAATCACATCTTTTGTGAATCGAAAAAATTAAATTTCTTCGCATATTTATATCGGATTATGATATATATCTATATATATATTATAAAATATATATATAAAATATAAATATTATACAATTAATTAAATATAATTTTTATTTATATAAATGTTATTTGCATATATTCCTCAGTCTTCGCAACATTTCAGTGTTATATGCCATATTTTGCTTCCATACACAGAAATCTTTGCATAGTCTTGATCATTTTTAAAGACTCTACATTTATTAGGAGGTCTGTAAACGCTTTGTCCATTGTACGCTGCACTGTTGAGCTGTCAGCTCTCAGGTTTTCAGGGCCTGCTGCTCAGGCCTGTCCTTTGTCGCTGCAGTCCGAGTAATTGACAATAATTAACTGTCAATTATTTTGCGATTTTTCGTCCGCAACGAGACCATATGTGTGTGGGTGTAGTCTATGGAACGAGCCAAGTCACAGGCACAGACTGAGCTTTTGCAGCTAGTCAAACGACAATGCCTTGTCATTTGCTTGGGCCTCTGTCTCTCTCTCTCTCTCTCTCTCTCTCTCTCTCTGTCTGCGTGCCTTGTTGCGATTGCATTTTAATGGAAAAGCGCTCAATTGGCTGCAGTTTAGCAGCACTTTGAGAGAAAGGACCTGCCTCGTGTGCACTGTGTAAAATTATGCAAAATTGTCTATTGATTGCGTATTATGTTTAATGGAATTTCATGCAATTGTTTTACTGCCTAGCTACCTAGCAGTGACAGTCAGGTAAAAATTGTTCCAGTAATGGCAATATATGCATGAATATGCGCACTGGCTAATGGAAATTTAATGGCAATTGCTGCGACTTGTCGCCAAGCAGCGCCCAGCCCCCGCAACAGCATAGCCAATCACATAACGCATACCCCCATCGGGCAGCTCTCTCCCTCTCTCTCTCGATATATATGTAACTGATTGTATTTTCTTTACCTCTACGCACAGATACACGGCGCACGACCCGCGGTTAACCTGACCTGGTATAATACAACTTCGGTCATCAGTGGCGAGGAGAACGAACTTACTGAAATACGCACCAAGGCTGTGAGTAGTTCAAAATCAATTTGTGATTGAGGTAATTCCATGTTATTTGCTTTGACAGTTCGAGAAGGAGGATGGCACCTATCACACGCAGTCCGAGTTGATCTTTAATGCCACACGCTTCGAAAATGATCGCGTCTTCCGCTGCGAGGCTGAAAATATTGTGCTGCAAATCAATCGCGAGAAGCCCATGTCCTCGGCTCTTACTTTGGAAGTTATGTGTAAGTACAAATAGGCTCAAACAGTGTTGTAAAACTCTAAAATTCATGGCTTTACCTCTTATTGTTATGCTATTTGTATGATTAAATATTCTACAAGCTACTTATTCATCGCTTTCTCTCACTTGACCCCCCTCTCTTCACACAGATCCGCCCGTTGTCAAGGTCAGTCCTCCGGAAATGGTCACAAATACCAGCGAAATTGTGCTGCTCAATTGTGAATATGTGGCAAATCCAGCCTCTCTCACGCAGGTCGTTTGGTAAGTCCCCAAAACCTAACCTAAAAATACTAAGCCAAAAATGAAATAAATAAAAAAAAAAACTGTTGAAAGTAAAATAAATAAAACGCGCTGAGCGCCAAAGTCAAAAGCGAAAGGCAAACGAATTTAAATTGCTTTTAAATTCAGCACACAAAATACACGCACATGTGACAGAGAAGGCGATAGGGCACTGGGTGCTAAAGCGAGATAGCGAATGGGGCCAGAGGCAAGAGCTGACGCGCTCTTTGTTGCAGAGGTGGCAACAGGGCTGAGGCCCTGCGGCTAGCTGGCTCTTTATGTGATTTGCGAAGCCAGGCAACAGTCGCAGTCGCAGTCGCAGTCGCAGTCGCAGTCAGAGTCGCAGTCACAGGTAGCAGTCACAGTCACAGTCACAGTCAAAGGCATAGGCAGAGGCAGCTGAAGCTATGGCGCAGCAGAACTCAATTAAACTAAAATTTCCACAGTAAACAAAAATCTAATTAAAAACAAATACAAAAGTAAACAGGCAACAAGAGTTCAAATCTACGCAACAGCAACAACGTCAAGTGCGTAAATTGGGTACACATACACACACAGGCACACACATACCCACACACATAGAGATACACATCATCAGACGCAGCGAACATTCATTTATCTGCTGAAAATCAAAACAAATCTCGCAGTTGCGTAATGCGAATCGCAAAAAGAGTTTGAGCAATGCAAACCAGAATTTATAGCTGCTCTTGTTGCTACAAAATTCATAGGCTGTTGTATGCTGCATGCCAGCTAAACATAGAGAAATTATTGCGGCACAGACAATTCCACTTAAGCGTAGCATTAATACAGGCCACAATCGTTAGAGCCAATGTGAAATGGTAGAAAATGTTAAATTGATGCCGAATAAAGGAGCTCGAAGGGCCTCTTATGAGTGTGTATAGAAAGTCTTGCTTAGAGGTACATGTTGATATCTGGTGTCGAATTAAGAGTTAAGCTGGTCAAACAATCTGCAGTTGTCTCTGAGTAATTCTCCTACGTCTAGAGCTATTGATATTATCAGGAATAAATATTAAATATTTAAAAAATATTGTCTTTTATTCTTAAAGTTATTATATGTTATATATATATTTATTAAATAATTTTTTGATATAGTTTTTATCTTCAAATCTATTCAGTTGAGCCAAAAATATGTATGGGAATCATATGAACTTTTACGGCATAAAAACTTATATTTATTACTTGTTATCTCAGTGGGACAACTATAGCATCTATACCTCACATGACACCTGCTTATTTATTTTTTAATGAAATTTTGATTGAACTTCAATTAGTCAATTGTAACAGCATTGCCAACAGCCTTTGGTTCACATAGGCTCACAGTTCAGGTTGAAGAACTGTCTTCTATGATTTCAACTCTCTGGTGTTGGTATACAAAGCCATTGCCTGTCTTCTATAGAGCCACAACCCTATTATTGCTGACAGTGGAATTGCAGGGCAACTTTTTGTTCAGTGTAGCTGTCAGTCGCGCCAAGGACAAACAACAGGCATACAAAATCCATCAGCAAGTTGTGTGGCTGCAGCAAGAGGAATGTTGTGAAGCGGCCAACAGGCACGCATAATGCAGAATCTTTGGCAATCGGCATGGCAACCCAGCCTCAGCCCCAACTGCATCTGCCTGGCTGGCAAATTAGGGAACGAATGGTGGCAACGAGACGCTGGCGCGGCGAGATGCGCCAGGGAATGGTTGTGTCTAACAAACTTGGCCAAAATACTGCGGCCATTAAATGCGCATGCAAGGCACGCAAATTGCAATTGCAATTCCTATTCACAGATTTCTGACCAACGCTGAGAACGTATTAATTTGTCTGATGCTAGCGCGAGCACGTGGCGTATGCGCGATATTCATTGAGTGTTTTAGGGGCTAAAAAGTTCAGCTTAGATGATGCAAAGACAAGCACAGACAAGTGAATGGAATCGTATTTGAGTAAGACTGGCGAAAATGATGAGCCAAAGTGCATTTCGAAACTTTTCACTGATGAATGATGAGCGAAATTTGATAAGCGCACAGAAAATTGAATAGAGTTTGGAAAACGAAAGTCTATAGATTGAAGAGCTATATATTAGAGATGAGATATTAAGATGAGGTGTAAGTTTGATTTGATCAAAATAAATATAAAATATAAAAATATAAAAATATAGAAATATATATATACATATATATACATATAAATATGCATAAACATCTGTACGTCTGTGTTTTATTTTTGAGGAAGCTTAACTTCTATAGAATTGGACTTGTAAACATACGGCTATTTAGAGCAACAGAAGTTCATTTCAATTGCTCAATATCTGTAACTATTTTCTATTGCTAAAAATCCAAATGAAAAGAAAGATATTTTCGCAAGTTTATTGCGAGTCCTAAGAATCGCGCCGCATAGAAAAGTGGTATATAGTCTATTCTTTATTAGTCTCAAATATCAATTACTCCATGCTTAGATATACCTTTGACAATCTCATCTTTAAACAGTTTGGAAAGCTTTTTGAGAGCATTTCCTAGTCGGCAGATACAGTTTCGAAACTTTATCTATGAAAATTGCAAATGCGCACAGCTTTTGTTAAATTGGGCTGAGAAATGCATTCCATTTAGGCAGATGTTGTCAGCGATATTTAATGTCAGCGCCACACGAATTCCTAATTACACAACAACAGTTGTAGCAGCAACAGCAGCTCGCGCATATGATGAATGAAGATGGAGGCAGCACTTCACACAAAACTTACATACACAATGGCACACACTTACACACATGTCGTCTGGCACTCGCTGTGTGTGTGTGTGTGTGTCAAGTGGCTGCATTTCACAAGCCTATTCCACGCTTCAAGCTTTCGCATTGCTCTGCGCTCTGCGCGCTCACTATTCATGCTGCCTCGTTTCACTTTTCTCTTTTTTACTTTTGCGCTTTTTATCCTAATGCCAGCTGAGAAATTAAATGCGCACACAGAAGTGACACAGAAAATTTATTTAGCAGGCATTTCATTTACGCCTCAGTCGCAGTCTGTGTATATAGAAAGAGAGAGAGGGAGAGCGCTATGGCTGAAATTTAGACAGCGGAGCATTACGTGGAGCAGGCCATGTGGAATTTTTGTAGCATACCTTTTGGGGCCAGCATTTGTAGCCACAAACCGGTTGCATGGCAGCCCAGCTGGCAAAGTGCATATTAATTGGATTTTAAAGGTAACATTTGCTAATTGCGAGGCGACACTTAACGTGAATGTATAGAATATGAATAGAGCCGTCGTTTCTGTTCATTTATGCACGCTTGGCATTCAGGCCGCATATTCATTTGTTTGATTTACGGCTGATTCATTAAAATGCTTTCTCACGTAATATAATTCAATTGCAATCAGCAATAATGATCAACATTAGATCAAATCGGCATTGTTTTATGCACTCTCCAATTGTTTCGATGTCTCTACCTCTGCCGGGCATGAAATATTTACATAAAATTAATCTTAATTTTGTGTTAGGCCAAGGTTGGGTTGTATGCCCCACGCTGGCTGTTGCTGTTTACGAGCAGTTGTCTGCCCGATAGCTCGCAGACACAACAAAGGCACAAGCAACCCTCAAAACCCATTCAACATTAGAACAAACAAGCCCACACTCACGCACACCCTTCTCTCCGCCTGTGTGTGGCTTGCACATAATTTATAAATCACCACAAAAGTAATTGTAATTGTTGAATTATTTAAGCGACTGGCAATAAACCACAAAATTTGCCTCAGGCCAAGAAAAGCACAAGAAGCAGCAGAAGAAGAAGCAGAAAAATGAAAAAAGTTGACTTTACGACTTGTTGACGACAAAAGGCAAAGTTGCCCTGAATGTGCCAGGAGCTGCTTCGAACCAATTAAAAATGTCTGCCTCATGTTGCTGGGCAAACACACATCACACACAAGCACACACTCACACATACACACACACATGAGTATATTAATGAGCAGCGATGGCCTCTGTCTGTGTGTGTTTGGCAGCACTTTGCCAGCTGCTCTCAAGATATATAAAAATAATTTCAATACCTTTTCCGTTTGCCATTAAAAGCATTTCCCCAGCTGGACGCACATTTCCGCACTAAACTAGAGACAAATGGAAAAGGGACAGAAGAGTAGTACGTGCGAGAGAGAGAGAGAGATAGAGGCAGTCAGAGCCAGGCAACACGCAAATTTCGTTAGTTTTTGTGTGTTCCTTGGGCGCAGCTGATAATTAAAATTAATTACGCTTGTCCAACGACGATGATATGCCCGGATTTATGAAGCAGAAGTCGCCCAGCGTTAACTCATTAAATCGACGAGGCCGCAACACTGAAAATTACTCAGCTCATCAGCCAGACAGCCGAGCGAAATGTGAGGAAAACCTCGCAAAAAATGCTCAACTGTAGCGATCAAAATTACTTTTTGTGCAACGTCTCTCGCTCCCTCCGCCTCTGTCGCTCTGTTATTGTAAATCAATTAAAATTTATACTGAACCTTGGTAGGCAACGGCACAAACCTCGACTCTGGCAGCTGCAGTCCGAGCTGTGGCCAATATTATTTCAATTTATGCCGTTCGCCCTGTCTCTGCCTCTTGCCCTGTAAAGTATGCAATGCATTTTTTAATTTCTCCCAAACGCACTGAGAGCACGAGGAAACACGTGGCTGCGCCTTTTATTTGCTGTTGTTCCACAGCCAGACAGCAGTGGGCGTAAAATTGTTTTAATGCCACAGGGAAATGCGCACAGTTAAAACAAAAAAGAACCAACATAAAATAATAAATCGAGACTGAAGAATCTGCCACTGTTTGTGGCTGCAGTTGAATATTTCCCTGCCAAATAGTAAAGCAAATAACATACAAAGCTTATAAGCGGAGTTGATTTTGGCGCTAACAAAACTTGTTCAACTGCTAACCGAATGTTGAGCTCCAAAGTTTTAAAGTTCAAGTATTTGATGTTTGCTTCAAGTTCAATCAAGATTCTCAGTCTGAAGCAGATGCTTATGCATGCCGTTGTACAGTGAAGCCACAGCCACAACGACTGTAAATATGCAAAGCCAAAGCAAAGACTCAAATGCACATTTGACATAATTTTCTAGTTCTTTGTCTGTCTGTGAGCCCGAAAGGCAGTCGAGACCCATTGACAATACATACAGCTTACACTCACTACCTCACTCACTCCTTCTCTCTCTCTCTCTCCCTCTCTGTCTCTGCACAAGTTGTTATGAAAACAAAAACACACAGAAACGTGCCTATAAATTTTAAATAGCCAACAAGAGACAAGTCGACTTACGCCTTCTATCTCTCCCTCTGTCCGTCTCTCATACATGCGTGTTGTATCATAAATAACTGTGTCTGCTTGTTAGCTTGAGCCAGGTTCTGTAACCAAACTAACTAGGCAAAAGCCGTCTTTAATTATGCCCCACAACGTTTGTCTGGCCAATATCTGTGTAACTGATTGTGCAACGCTTGTTGTTTGGCTCTCTGCAGGTATCGCAACGGCGACATTGTTAATGTCAACGATACGGATCGCTATCAGGGCGGCAACTCCGAGAATGTTGCCTTAGTCATCAGATCAACAGATAAAGAGGATATAGGCAACTACACCTGTCAGCTGTCCAATTCCATCGGCAAAGGCATGTCCGAGCAGCAAATCGATCTCGATGTGCAGTGTAAGTGCAGAGCTATAAACATGCCCACACATCATATATATATACATATATACTTAAATGATTCTTATGCCTTAGATGTGCCCATTGTTGAGGTGCAAATGATACCCGAGGGACCCGTCAAGGAGAGCGATGAATCCAATGTCACTTTGTTCTGCAACATATTGGACGCCAATCCATCTGTGTTAACCAAAGTGCGTTGGTATGCCAACTCCACATTGCTCAAGGAGCTGCCAGACTGCGAGGAAACTAGAGTAAGTCAAGGCGTCAACTGCTCCCATCTCTTCTCGCTGTCTAACCGTCTTATTTTTGCCGCTCAGGAGGATTTATGTCATATTGATCCCAGCAAATTGCTGCTGGAGAGCATTGGTCGTGGCTTCTTTTACAACTATTCCTGCGAGGGCTACAATGCCGCTGGCTGGGGACCGCGCAGCGAGGACAAGGAACTAATGGTGAGTGCGAGCTCCCAGCTCTATTTTATTCCACTCTCACACTCTCTCGCCCGCTCGCTCGCAGGTGCACTATGAGCCGGGACCAGCTACTTTGACGCACTTTCCCCCAATTGCCATCAAGAAGAAGAGCGTCATTTTCTATTGTTCCGTGGATGATCCGGGCTACCCCGAATCGAATAGGTTTGTAGCCACACAGGGCAACAAGAACAACAACAACAGTCACAAGAACACATCCATACCACAAATTGCGTATCACACGGTTCAGGCACTGCAACCGCATGAGGCAGATGCCGCTTTTGAGGCGCTGCTGTTGCAAAAGCAACAAGAACTGAGGCAACAACAGCAACAGCAACCACAGCAACAGCCACAACAACAACAACAACAACAGCATTTGCTTAATCCCACACACATATCATCAACATTATCAACGCTGTCCGGCCTGAGTGCCGTGCAGTCGACAGCTCATGAAATTAAAGAAACGCATGCTCTAATCGATTTACATTTGAATCATTCCCTTTGTACTTTGCTCACGCTCACCACCTACATGCCACAATCACAAATCTTAACCCTGTACAATGGGGGGCATCCATTTGATTACTCATCCGAATCCACCACCGCATCCTATGCACTCTACCGCAAAATGGGCAAATTCATGTATGTGGCTCAAACGCTCTCGCAACCCAACAGATACCGTTGGCTGCGTGGCGGCCGTGGACCGCTGCAGGATATTGTCACCAAGGAGTGGACCGTTGAGCCCGTCGGCCTGGACAGCCGCACCAACTACTCCTGCTATGCGTACAATGAGGGCGGCAAGGGCGTAATGGCCACCGTCAATTTGGAGGTACATGCGCCGCCATTTTTCATCAAGAATATGCAGCCATACACGGGCGTCCTTCACTCCGTGTCCAACTTCAATCTGACCTGCCGCATCGAGTGTGTGCCCCGCTGCGAGATCGCCTGGCAAAAGGATGGCGTACCAATTGACAAGAATGATACCCGCTACTTTGTCAAAGAGAAGTATATGGACGCCTCGCCGGCAACAGGCGATTTCGAGAGCATGCTCTCAGTTCTGGTAAGTAGTGGTCAACCAATGGGTGGGTCTGAATTAACTCAACTTGAAGAACTGAAAAGGCTTCAAGATATTTAGAGATATATATAAAGTGGCAGATGAAAGAGAATTAAGTAGCATAGAGCTTCGTATGTATCTGTATATACAGATGTCGTTTATTCTCGTTTATTTTTATTATTATTATTATTATTAGTTGAAAGAGCACTGGATGGATTGATAAATAGTTTTGGTATCGTCTATACCCCATGAGAGTTATTAAGTCTCTGGTTTGCCAAATGAAATAAGTTAAAAAAAAATTTTTTTTATTTAATATTTTATTTTTTTGTTTTATTTTTTATTCATTTTTCGTTGTATTTTTTATATTTTTATTTTAATTATAATTTTACTTTTTATTTTATTTTTTTATTGTATTTATTCTTTTATTATTATTTAATTTTTTAATTATTTTTTGGGTGCTTTTAAATTTTTTTTTTATATTTTTTATATATTTTTCTTTTACATCTTATTTTTTAATTATTATTCTTTTTTATTACACAAATTTAAAATTACATAATAGCTTTAATTATATAATAGAAACTGTTTATTTTTCATTATTTTTTTTTTGTCAAATACAACTTGAAATTCTAGATAAGAATCAGCTGCAGACATAATAAATTTGTTTTATAAATGGGGGCATTAGAAGAACACCTTAAGCTGTTTCAATTGCCTTTCGCTCTAATCAATCAACAAAGCCTCATCAGATCAAGCCAATTATTGAATGACAGAAATTTAAAAGAAAATCTTTTTTATCCTATATCAAATACGCGTAATACAAACTTGTCTCACATGAGCAACTCAATGCATAAATAGCATTACGTACAAAGCCCCCAAATGAAAATGCCAATTAATTTGAATTGTTTAGCTCACATCGCATGGCAGCTGCGACGCGAAATTCCATCCCCAATTCACGTAAATGACATATTTCCATGTTGTTTTATTTTCATTTGCCAATTATAGCACTTCAATATGTCAAATTTTCCGAATAAAAAATTCGATATCGAATCGGATAACGCGAAATACATGTGCATCTCGACATCGAACGCGGTGGGCCCGACGGTGAACAGCACCACCTACTTGAGCATTGAATGTGAGTATGACATGCCGGGCAATCAGCTGCAAGCCATAATCACACAAACTCTTCGTGCCACCCTCTTCCACAGACGCACCGAATGACATCAGCGTCTCGGAGAACATTGTCTATGTGCAGGAGCATCACATACCGGGGCGTGTCATATGCAAATCGCAAGCTAATCCAGGTAAATCAATTACCTTGCCTCCCCTGAGCTGCAATTGGCTACATCAACTCTGCTTACAGAACCTTCCTATGAGTGGCTCTATCCGAATAAGACGGTCACAATGGGCAACACGCTGATTATCAACGATCCCATCAAGCGCAACGATACGGGCATCTACAGGTGCAGAGCACGCAACAAGCACGGAGATCGCATTGCCGAAACAGTCATCGATGTTCAATGTAAGTTGAGAGAGAGACAAAGAGAGAGAGAGAGACACCTTTATGTTTAGCTACTATATTTTTATGATTATTTGTTTTGCTTTTCTGCTTGCTACAGTCACCCCACGATGTGAAATCGAGAGGCGAGAAATCGATGATCAGGATACGCTAATTTGCACAGCATACGGAAATCCTGAAGAGGTAAGTGTCAATAGCGCGTGCAGCAGTAAGCAAAGGGTTACAATTAAAATAAAATATGAGCAAGCAGAAGCAGGAATACGCTATGAAAAGAGTTCTGCTGGGTGTGTGATGCGCATGAATTGTTTGGGAATTATAAATGAATAGCAATATTAACATAAATGAATAGTAACACGAAGTGAGCCTAAAGTATAGATGGATAGATTAAGGTAGAAAAATATTTAATAATAAATAATAAAAAAAAATAGAAAATTATCAAACAGAGGCGATACTTTGTTTTAGAAACAATTGAAAATGCTTTAAGAAGATTTTTATATGAATATGGAAAATCTTCAAAATTTAGAAAAACACAAAAATATAAAATATTTTAATATAAAAATAAAATAATAATACAATAAAATAAAATAATAATATATAAATATAGAAGCTTAAATTTAATAAATTAAAAGTTTGCAACATATAAATTGTATATAGTACAAAATCTGGGATTTTATATATAATAAATATTTCTATAAAAATATAATATAATCAAAAATTAATTATTAAATATTTAAAAAAGAAATTTAAAAAAAAAATTATTTTTTAAAGATGTTTTAGCAATATTCATTTAAAAATAATAACCCTAAAGCTTGTCGGGCTTGCATACAATTTCCACCACCTTTTCCAACTCTTGTTCCGTATTAAATGGCAAACGCTCTAATCGCTGCGTAATACCCTTAGCTAGAAATACACTTGAAAACAAAGCCAAACGATAGTCTAACGCCCACACCGCACATCCTCACAAAAAAGGCAGAAAAGGGGAAAAGCATTTCGATTCCCTGTGCAAAGGCCATCGAAATGGTAATAACGATAGCATTTCAATTGTGGTGCATGCCATGAAGGCTGGTTACAGCACGGATAGAGGTTTTGCATCTTTTTTTTTTCTGTTCAGTTCTTTTGCGATGCAGGTAGCTGCAAGTATTTTCAATTTTATGAGTTTACCTTTTGGCCGGAACCCGGATCTCCTGCTGGCTGCAACTGTTGTAGCCAGAGAGAGAGAGCAGCGAACTGCCAACCGACCAACTCGACTCGACTCCCAACTTCAGTTTGGAGTTCGCACTTTTTGTGCCATGCCGCATAAATCAGTGCAGCATTTTTTTCGACCCACTCTCTGCCCGATTTTATTTTTTTTTTTGCAATTGCATTTGCTTCGCCGTTACTTGAGTTAAAGCGTGCTGGCGATTAAGGTGGGCAGACGGCGGGGAGGAAGGGGCACGGGGATACAACCTGCAGGTTGGCCCAAAGATTTATTGCCACGCAGGCAACCACAGCGAATGTGTGTGGGGCAAACTCGGTGGCTCGTAATTATTTGATTGGAAATTATTCAACGGGCGTAAAGTTAAAATTTAATAACGTAGCATGCAATCAGATGAGAAATTGATGCGAATCGATGTTGGGGCGCGTCTGGACAAGCGAGCGATTCAAGCGTTTCTAGTTGAAAGGTTTTTTAAAGATGTTCAACAGGCAAAGCAGACAGCTGAAAATTACTGGAAATTTTATAGCTATAATAATAAGAAAAATTCTATTTGAAAAGTAAAGTAAAGGAGATGAAGTTAAGAAGTTTGTGCCTTTTTGGCAGCTTTTTGAGATTTATTTATTTATTATATTTATATATTATTATTATATATAGTTACTCTTTGGCTTACTCTAGTCTCCTGCACAAAACCATTTCCAATTAGCAAAACAGTTCACATTCAGCTAAGCCAAGTGACACCTTTGAAAAGTAGTTAAGCCCGCTGGGCTCTGGTAGCTTGGCCAGAAACTTGAAGGCAATGCCAAAACCAAATGCAGAAAATATGGCAAAAGAAAGAATTTAAAAAAGAGCTGAATATCAAAGTGCATAGAGGAATACAGAAAAAATAGAGACAGACAAGGATTTGCATAGCTTCAATAGGCAATTTGTGCTACAATTGTGCATATGCAACTGCAACGAAAACTAACTGTCTCTCTCTCTCTCTCTTTCTCTCCCTCTCCCTCTGTGTGTGTTTTATAGGCCGATTTTTCATGGTCAATTAAAGCTGAGAATGAAACAGTCGAGACTTTGGGCGCAGGCGACAAGAAGACCTTTGTGGACAAGAGTTTTTACATACTGCAGGAGGATTATGCCATCGCCCGGACCTATCGATGTGTGGCTAACAATTCCGTTGGAGCTGGCGCATTCTGTGAGATTGAAGTGGCTGGTGAGTAATATTTCAAATGACGAGCGAGAGCAACAACAACGACAACAACTGGCAAACGGAAGCTGATTACTGTCAATATTTGCTTCATCTGTTTCCGCTTTCCGTTATTTGATTTTTTATGCTCTGCATAAAATGGCGGCTAGCTGCTTCCGCTTTAAGCTAAAATGGCGGCCACGACCACGGCCACGGCCACGGACCCGGCCACGTCTTTGGCCGGCCGTGGCAATTAGGGCATTGTTTGACGCCCCAGCGCAATTCCCATTTCCAGCCACGCCTTTTTGCTTACCTGTTATCGTAACATGCGCCACGTTTTATTACAACCAAACGGAAATTGATTTCTGCGCTCAACGAAACTCAGCTCGACTTTTTCTCTTTCCTCTTTCTTTTTTTTTATTTTCTCTTTTTATTTTTATATTTTATGCGCTGTGATTTTCTTCAGCTGCTTAAGTCATGAAATCCACTTGGCATTTTCTCTCTCCTTTCCATTTTTTGGCTTTATTTTTTGGCTAGGATTTTCGCGATCTTAATGCCTGTCAAGTTTATATATAGAGCTGCTCAGCCTTTGAGCTAATCGGGGCGAGTGTCCAGCTTTTACAACATTTCTTTGATTGAATTGAAATTGAAATTGAAATTGAAATTTGACAGCTGATGACGTCAACACTTTTTATATTTAACAGCATTCGCTTCTCCCCTCTCCAACATTTGTCCAAAATAATTTTTTCTTATTATTTAATCAGTTCTGTGTAAGCTCTTTTGGTTTTCTATATATTCAATAATTTTTTTTTATTTTCATATTTTATATTTTATGTATTTTTCATATATTAACAGCTGGTTCAGCACTTTATATTTGGTGGCAAGGTAAATGCCCAGCACAAATGCTCATTATACATTTTTTTGAGTTGACTTCTTAGTTTCTTATTCCCTAGTTCAAGTTCGAGTAACTCTTCCAAATGTTGTCTAAATTTCGATTTAGCATCACCAGAACCAAAACACGAAAAGTATCCTGTGTATTAACATATATAAATTTGCTATTTACTCTCTGTCTTTATCCCTTTGCTTATCACTCGAAAACCCATTTTATGCTCATTCGTAAACGCTTCTAATCAATTAGTGCGACCAAAAAGTAAGTAACTGCATGTTAATTGATCAAATTCTCGTTTAGATATCTATAAAAATTTGGAAAGCGTTGTAAATAAATAGAATAGCGGTAAAGCGCGCTTGTTAGTTACGTAATGAGCAGCTGAAAACTGGTTTAAAGCTATAAACAAAGCCGCAGCTGGCAGACAAATACATAAGAGCGGTTGCTGTGCCACAATCCAATGCTAATCCACATAACACACACACACACACACACACACACAGACCGAACTATAACTAAAAGCCGCCATTTTTCATTTGTCGCTCGCTCGCTCGCTTGTTTAATTGCATAAGATAGGAATGAAGTAGGAGGTGGGAGCATAAGGAGCGGCTTCTAAATGTTGTTGACACGCGAATCCGCATTCGATGCCAAATGAATAGCTCATAACATATGTGAATACACTCGGAAAACAAACATAGATAAACGCTGCCACGAAACAAAGGCAGCTGCCACACACACACACCCACACACACAGAGAGTGTGTGTGAGTGAGTGAGAGCGGGAGCTGCTGGCAAAGACAATTCATTTGTTTGGATGATAAACAGCTGAATTATAGCAAATATGGAAAACAATGAGAGACAAGCCAGCTGAAGGATGCGGCTACAGCTGCCTAGCACAATTTCACATAAGACAATGACACAATGCGTGGGGGGAGGGCGGGGGGATTGCTTGGAGCTGCTTGTGTAAGTAATATATAAAATGCATCTGTGCCTGTGCGGAACAGTTACGGCTGCAGCTGCATGGCAAAACCATGTGACAAGTTGATAAATTAAAGTTAGCAACTGCAAACGGCATTCAGTCAGTCAGTCAGTCAGTCAGTCAGTCAGCTAAGTAGGCAGACATTGGGCTTAGCTGTCAGCTGTCAGTTTGTTAAGAATTGCATGTATTGTTAAGTTTTCACTGTGTATGCTTAAAGTTCCTGCAAAACGCAACACATTTTAATACAATTCTCTCTATCTCCGTCTCTTTTTCTCTCTTCCTTTCTCTCTCCCTGCCTCTGTCTCTGTCTCTCCCCTTTTTAGAACAATTGGCCTGGTGGCAGAGATGGGATAAAACGACGCTCATTATACTGGTCGCTGGCATATTGCTACTGTTGCTGGCCGTCATCATCATTTGTTGCATCATTATTTGCATATGCCGTCGCCGTCGGCGTCAGGATAAATGTGAGTACAACAACAACATCATCAACAACAACAGCAAGCTTCAAAAATAATAACTGCATACAGTGCAGTCAGTTATGATAATTAATTACCCCAAGCATAGTGTTAGGCCCACCCGAAAACAAGAGCAACAAACAAAATAATACCAAAATGAATTTATGTTTATCAATTGAGTATTTTTCTGGCATTTCTTTTGAAAATAAGTTTCATAATTATTTCATTTGAATTTGGTGCCTATGAAGCAGCATGTCCCGAACTCTCTGCATGGCTCATTGTTTTTCTTTTCATTCAAAGATTATTCCAATTGAAAAATCTAAATGCATGCAACAACAATTCAGGCTTATAGGACTTTGACTATAAATGATATTTAGCCCGTTCGCTTTTTAAATATGCCATTTAAATTACATCGCTTATCCCTTTTTTTGAATGCATTTCGAATCCGGTTTTCGCTGCTGCCTCATTAAGCGGACTAAGAATTTGATTTCATTTGTATTTTAACGACTTTTTCCAATCATTTGGTAAATTTTTTTGCTGATTTTAAAGCTTTTGTGTTGCACTTGGCTGTGTAAACTTCGTTAATTTGAAATTAATGAATGCAAAAAATCATAAACAGGGTGTTGCAGTTGTTAATAAAATGAAAATTGTTTATAATAAAAATAAAAAAATAAATCATACGCTAACATACAAAACAATTTATGATAAAATACTAAATGTATTAAATATATATATAATAAAAATATGAATTTTATAATTTTTTAAACAATTAAAAAGCTTCAACTATAATGAGTCTTTATTTAAAAAGAACACCCTGTTTGTTTATCAAACTCATTTTCAAGTCCATTTAATCAAATCTTATTATAAAAAAAATTTAATATTTAAAAAAGAAATATAAATTATAATTATGTATTTAAACTTTTATTTCGTTTTGTTTTTCAATTATAACGCGTATATATATTATTCAATTTGTGTGTTCAATAATTCCACTTGGTTCCGCATCAATGTTGACTACTCTAACAACAACAAAAAAACAAACATTAATTACAAAACCCACAACAATAACAAAAAAATATATATATATATAACTAATTAACAACCGCAACATAAACCAACAACAACATTAAATGAGTGTTGTTTTTCTGTTTATTTTTTTTGTTATTTGTCTGCATTTTATTTATTCTTTATTTGCTGCAACATTTTTAATTAATTTTGTTTGCTTGGCATCTCGTTTTAACCAATTATTGCTTACACTCTATCTATCTATCTGACTCATACACTTACATGTACATTAAATATATATATACACATATATATTGTTGTCTCTATGCTGCTTCACTTAATAATTGCTCGCTGTAACAACAACAACAATAACAACAACAACAACAACAAACAACAACAACAACAACAAACAACAACAACAAACCACAATACATTTAAACGCTGCTTGCCAAACAAAATGCGCCAAAAACTACAAATTGTGCTACAACAACAACAACAAAAACACACACACATACACAACTGCATTATAACATCAACAACAAACAACAACAACAAACAAACAACAAAATGTCATTTGATTTGAATTCATTTGGTAAAGATCACACGGAAGTTTCCATTAGCGCTAATCAAAGGTAAGTGCCGCATTCGATTCATATGAATTTTTGTACTCGAGTAACTTTTGAAAATATTTGTAAAAATTGCAGTTATTTTTTATTTAATTGTTTTAAATTGTTTGCTTCGCTTAAATGAATTTTCGGCAAATTTTGTCCTAACTTGTAAATGATACTAAATTACGAATATCTCTCAAACCAAAGAGTTCTTTGAGTCAAATATTTATTACCAAAATAGCTAAAAGACTTCTATATAAATTCATTATTTTAGAGCAAAAAAAATTGTTCTAAATAAGTTTTTAATACAAAACTGAATTTCTGAAAGAAAAAAGAAATTTTGCTTGCTCAGAAAATATTTAGGGAAAATGTTTAACCTTGGAAAGGTTCACCATTTAAATTATTTCTTTCTTAAAAGCAAAAATAAACTTTTCTTGAATATATTTGAAATATTCTATAAAATTTTAGAAAAAGCAAAATATTAATAAAATGTAATACTTTCTGAAAACCTAACTGTCTTTCGTACAGCCAAGTATATTGTCTTCATATCAAAGTACCTCAAGCACTTCCTAGCCTTCACATTTTATATATAATGATATTCTGTTTAGAGTTCATGATGTTTCTAAAGCCTTCAGAGTGTTTACTCTGATTCTTTTCAAAGTCCTGTTGCCCTTTTTAATTCTCTTTACCAAAAAAAAAATTTAAAAATAAATAAAATAATAATTTTTAAGGCATACAAATTCTAAAAAAAAAAACAAATAAATTTTTTAAAAATTTTCTAGCTATAAAATATGCATGATTTTTAAGACTTCCTTATATCTAACACAATTTTAATTTTTTATTTATTTATTTTTTTATATATTCATTTATTTTCGTTGCATATTTCAATTGCTTATTGTGCGCACCCAACAACAACAACAACTATATATATATATAATGTACACCATATATATATATATATATATATATATATATCTAAATAAATTATCCGATTCGTATCGCTGTGTGTGATTTTATACTTGTTTATTGCTCGCTTGCTTCATACAAATACACGCTTATCCAACGCCCAATATCAACAACAACAACAACAACTCACGCACACACATGCACACACACGCACACACATACACATAGTGTGCTATCGTATCAGCCAGTACTGCCGCAAGTAGGCGTCGCCCTGCCCATACAAGACACAGATGCTGCCACATTGTTGCCCGCAACGCTGTTGCCACCGCAACAACAGCAGCAGCAACTGCAGAAGCAGCAGCAACAGCAACATCAACAAAAGCTCGCCGCAACAGAGAACAACAATGAGCTGGCCACGCCTCCGCCCACAACGCGAAATAGCACGTTGCATGCCACAGTACCGAAATCGCCGCCACGCTGGCCATTGCGGCCAGGTGTCATGTTGCACGTGAGCAGCGACACCAAAGAGAATCTAGCCGTGAATCGCATGACACTGAAACCAAATCCGAATCCGAATCCGAACTCGCATCCAAATCCCACTGCGAATGCGAGTCAATTGTCGGCGCAACTGAGTGCCGTGCTGAGCGATAGTCAAACTAACTCAAATAGCACAATGCTAACCGAGGTGACGGTATCGGTGATGGAGCCAGCAGCAACGGCAGCAGCAACAGCAACAACAACAACATCTGTTGTACAGCCTAGCCTGATGAAGACTAATTCCAATGACATTGCCTTGCCATCGACAGATGCAGCTGAGCCGCAAGCAGAGCTTACAGCCTGCCTACAGAATTCCAACGCAGCAGCAACGTCAGCAGCAGCGGCAGCAGCGGCAGCGGCAACTGCTCCCAGTCATATGCAACGCATTTGGAAGTTTGTTTTCAGGCGCGCCAAGCGAGGCAGCAATACGGATGATGGCACCCGGGATAGTCAGCGCAGCCATGTGGGTCTGTTGCATACGTTTTGGCGTGGGCGTGGCAATCAGGAAACGCCCTTCGGAGCTCAACATCGCCTCAAAGGCATACGCAGCAGCGGCAGTGGTAATAAACGCTAAACGAGCAACAATTGCCAGTTTCACAGCTAATTCTTGATTTTCTTTATTTATCATTTGCTTTTTATGTTGTATCACATTCGTATCACACACACACACACACACATGTATCTTCACGTATCGCTAGTCACCTACAAAAAGACGCCCACAGCAACAGCAACTAATTCAACAACAACAACAACAACTGCAGCAGCAGCAGCAACAACGACAACAAACAATTCCAGCAGTGTCCAATCACATGCCTCTGTGACATTTCAAGCGCCTTCATTAGACAAGACGTCGCCAACAGACACCGCAGCAGCAGCAACAGCAACACCAACGACAGCAATACCCGCAGCAGCAACAATAGCCCACGCTGGGCTTGGTGTGAGCTGCTTGGAGCAGCCGCAACGCCACGGCATATTGAAGTCGCCCACATCAACACCACCGCCACGGCCACCGCCGCCCATATTGCCAGTGCGCCGTGGCCCTGGACAACAACAACAGCAACAGCAGCAGCAGCAGCTGTTGACCAGCAGCAGCGGCAATTGCCCACCCCTGCTCAAGCGCACAGTTGTGGTGTCACCCAGCAAAATCGAGCGCGTTCAAAGTAAGAACAAACCCACAAGTCATCTCATATACACTCATATAGCTCATAATACACTCATCTACACACTCAATTGAATCTCTAGGCCTTGTCGTCTACTCAGTTATTAAAAACACGAAAATATCTCAAAGTAATTTCCCCATATACATATTTCTTTTATTAGCCAAAGCTGACTTGCCAAAAGACTTCACTTTCTGAATTCTGAAAAGCAAACACACACACACACACAATTCATTACATTTTATTGCAAATGCTGAGTTGCAAATTTTAAGCCAAGGCAGAGGCTTTACATGATTCACTATATTAGCAGACAGCTGGCTTAAGCCACATTTTTGGCATAAAAGTAATTGAAAATCTTTGTAAAAGAAAACTTCAAAAGTTATTCACATCTATTCACATTTAATACACTCATTTATACACTCACACACTCAACTCATTTTTTTTGGCAGATGACTTGAAAATCTTGATAAAAATCTATACGAATTTTCCCAATATTAAATTTTATTCATATTTCATACCTCAGACTCAGCTCACTCTGTACATATTCACGCACACAATTCCCGCTCTCAACTAAATTTTTTGCTTTTGTTATTCATTTCGCTAAACCTAAAACTCTCTGTACATCTCTAATCGCTGTAAGTAATTTATTTTAATGAATCAAGCGACGAGGTCCTTATATAAAAAAGAAATATACAAAATCAAGTAAGAGAAATTCCATAAGCAGAACAAAAAACCCTAAACAACAACAACAACAACAACAAAAACTTGTCATAGTTAACATTAATCATATGCGTGCAAATTCGTTAATTATTTATAAACATTTGAGTTACTTTTACCGTTCCGGCTTGCACTTTTCTCAATGTTCTTTTCATGTTGCCTGCTTGTGATTTGTCCTTGGCCTGCTGTGTGTTACCAAATTACTGCATGACATTCAAATATAATCAAGAAGAAGTAACAAATCTTAAGATAAAAATCAAATATTATATTTATTTTTTAGGTTTTTCAATTAATTAAAGATAAAAAAGTCTAGCTTAGGTGTTTTTTCACACAACAAAAAAGAAGCTTAGGCTTAATTTTTAGTAAAACTAAACAAATTATTATTTTATAATTGACTAATTAAATATTCTTCTTCTTTTTCCAATAATTTTCTTTTACTTTTTCATTTGATAAAAATTATGAAAAAAAAAACAATTTAAACACTATGAAATTGTTAAACGAAAAACTCCCCAAATGCTAAATCAACCGATCCGTATACGTATATACTACTATATAGTACACGACAAGTCGTCTTCACTGGGGGATCCATTGACGGAACCTGGCGAGTATGAGAATCTACCGTTTCATGGTCTGCAAACGGCACCTAACAAGGTACAGTTCAAATTTGCCTTTTTCGTTTACTTTTTCAACTAGAAATGTTTATGATAAAAATTGTTTAACACATACACTCACACACACACACATGTACACACTCAACACACACATAAAGCACCCACACACATTGCTAATCTCGCCTCGTATCAATATGTACTCTATGTATCTAAGTCTAAGCTATATATATATTGCCTCTTGTCTATGTTTATATCTAGCTCAAGCTCTAACTCCAAATCTATCTCAATTTCTATTTGCCAACCATATGATTTTTTGTGTAATATCTTAAAGACTTTTAATCTATATTTTTGTATGATTTAAGCAAAGAATTGTGTATTTTACGTATAGTTCTCAGTAACTTAGCCAACAGTCCAAATGACTTTCCCTCTACATTGCCTAATGATGTTATTCAATTCATTTCATTTTGATATTCCTTTACTTTTCCATTTATTTTCCACTTTATATACCTTGCTTTGGTATTTATATTTGGTATTTTTAAGCCCTGAATTTTGTACAATTTTATTGATATTAAATATGAAATTTATATTCTTGTTAATATGAAATAGTTTGTAATGCCTAAACAGTAAGTTTTCATTTATACGTTTTTCTATATTTTTTTATTAAAAAATAAACTAATAACATTTATATTAAATTTAGCAAAAATGCGAGTTAAATGTGAAATAAAAAGTAGGCAGCAAATTTTCATTTATTTAAAATCAATTTAGAATTCAAATAGTTGAAAGTATTTTGATAAAAAAAACTTTAAAAAAATCTAGCTACAAGTATAAAGTGAAATTTATTTAAAGTGAAATTTTTTATAGTCAAAAGAATGCAAAAATTATAAAAATTTGTTTAATGATTAACAATTAATATTTGAATACCCCTAATAAAAGAAAATCAAGCAAAATATTTTAGTTTCATAATTTTCAAAACTAAATTTAAAATATATATTTTTTTTAAATTTATTTTTTTAAATTTTTTATATATTCTTTTAATTTAGTTATTCAAGTTTCTTTTCTTTAAATTTATTTATAAAAATTTTATTTCAAATTGTATTAAAATTTAATTTAACTTGATATATAAATATTATAAATTTTCAGTAAAATTATTGGCATATTTTATCAATTATACATAAGAGCTCCATTCCGAATTCCATTTAGTAAGAAAAAGCTTAAATATTTATAGTAACTTCCCTTTTAGCTCGCATATTTACAATCCCAGATCAATTCCACTTTCAACTTAAACAACTCTCTAAACCTAATCAGTGTTGTGTTCGCTAGTTCCGACACTAATTGCAAATACCACAATTAATACAGCTCATTCACACAGTGCTCACAGCTAACCCAGTTTGTAGCTAACTAACTGACTTGCACCAGCTCCATAACTAACTCCAAACGCAACTAATCGAATGTTCTCTCTCTTTCTCTCTCGCTGCTAATCGAATGCTGAATGGCTAAAAACAAAAACAAAAACAAAACAAAAAACCAAACTCCATTGCATGTGCTCGCATTGCATCGACAGTTCTCTACTACCCCTACAAATTTTAATAACAACACAAATGTGGTGCGCGTCGCTCCACGACCCAAGAGACTAAATGGAAATATTGGTCAAGCGATGCACAGCCAGCAGCTGCTGCATCACCAGACTCTACAGCATCCGCATCCTCAACAGCAGCAGTCACATTACTACGACCAGCAGCTACAACAGCAGCAGCAGCAGCAACATCAGCAGCAGCAACAACATCCGCAGTACAACACTTTGCAGTACGGGCGTGGCTGCACAGCCCCGCCCCCTCTTACAGCTCCACATAATCGCAGCATGGATCAGCTCGAGTCTAGCTCCGATCAAATACAATATAATCTAAGCAATTGCTTTCCCAAAAGCTACACCGAATACTACCAGCAACATCATCAGCATCAACAGCACTCGCAGCAGCAGCAGCAGCAGCAGCAACCCGCGCAGCAACAGCAACAACAGTCGCAAAAGTTTCACACAAACTCCGCATCGAATGCGCAATTATTGAATGCCATCGAGCATGACTATCAGCCCACATATGCAGTGGTTGAGCGTGTGCCCCCGCCGCCACCGGCGCCTAGCTCGGCGCTGCTCAACACGAATCCCTTCCTGGCCGCGAGCAACTTTAAGAAGTACGATGCGGCCGGCGACGAGCTGCTGGGCAGCATGCAGCGCAGCAAGCGTGGCAAGGTGGGCAGCTTGCTGGATCGCATAGATGTGGACAAGAAATTCTACTCACTGAAGTTTCCCAACGGCGGCAACAAGTTGAAGAAGCCCGCATACAATTTGAATACCTCGCTGGGCATGGCAACAACGTCAGCGGCAACAGCGCCCAAATGCAAGCGGCATCATTCCTTTGCTGGTGGTAGCCATGGCGATATTGAATCCAACGGCAAGCCCATGCGCCTCTATGATCCGCCCGTCTATGAGAATGTGGCGGATAAGTGCGGCAACGAACTAGATCTGGATATGGGCGGTGACGGCAGCAGCATGGCCCACACACTCAACATGAATCATAATCTTAAGCACAATCTCAATTTGGCCACTGTGCAGCTGCATACGCAGCCGGCTGCTGTCGTCTCGGCGAGCCACAAGAAAAAACATCACCATCGCCAGCACCAGCAAAAGGCTGATGCGTCGGGCGCCGGTGCTGATTTCCAGCTGATGGAGCCCGAACGCCTCAGCATCTATCGCAGCGATTCGGGCATATCGAATAGCTCCTATGAGTCGCAGCTCCCAGCGCTGGGCCAGCGCACACCCAAGCCACATAAAGCGTCCGCAGCGGGTATCAATCTCACACGCAAGCCACTCTACATGAATGTGGAGGGCCAGCAGCAGCAACAGCAGCAGCAGCATCAATTGGCACGTGCCGGCTCGCCAGCGCATATTAATTCGTCCTATGAATCGGCCTCGTCGGCGCCCGTCACAGATCCCACCTCGCTCAGCTCATCCAATTCGCTTTATAGCAGCGGCATCGGCACCGTCAGCTCACGCTGCAATCGCCATCCACAGCAGCAGCAACAGCAACAGCAGCAGCAGCAGCAGCAGCATCATCAAAGGCAGCCAACGCCGGAAATCACAACACCCGAGGATTACGAACAATATCAGTTGGGCCATCAGCCAGCACATTCCGCCTCCATGCTGTCTGTTGCCAGCAGCCTGAGTGCCGCCAGTCGTGGCAAGTGCAAGCCCTCCAGCTCGCCAGCAGCAGCAGCAGCAGCATCAACAGCAGCAGCGGCAGCAACAATGCAACAGCTGCCACATCGCGTAGGTCCACATGAGGTGCGTACATTAGATTTCGCTTAGGTTTCAGGCGGGTTGGGGCTTGCCCATTATGCCAGGTGTAGCGAGGTAGCGAGAGGTGGGCCACAGGCCAAATTTCACGCACTAGTTGCAGCCAGGTGTAATTTACTATTTAAATTTCTGGCTTCATATGTGCTTTATGATCTAGGTCAGCCTGGGCTTCTATTTGTCATCTAAGCTATAAAACATTAGCAGGCTCAGAACTGAAACTGTCTGAACTTTATGGTGCTAGCTCAGCTGAAGTCCCTTGTGGCTAGTGACGTTTCAAAGTAATAAAAGTTCATTGTTTTCAATTTATTTATATTTTGGACAAATTATCGAAATAACTTTGAAAATATTTTTAAGTATTTTAGTTAAAAAATTCTTAGCCTATCTGTAGTATATGGCTTCAATACACCTTCCAAATCAACTTTGAGGCTAGAAATTGCTTGGGAAAAACTGAAGAGCTCATGTCTAACAAAGCAGAAGCTCAGTTAATAAGGTCATAAATTCTTTGGGTCCTAGAATCAGAGTAAGCTTCTTTAAAGGACTCAGGTGGACTCAGTTCGAATCTCTTGATATAGTTTTGTGACAAATATTTGAGTAATGAGTATTCAGAGCAGTTATCCATAGCTACCAAGACAGAAGCCCAGCTCAAAGCCAAACTAAAAATCTTTTAGGTTTAGAAAAAGGATTCGAAGCCTTACAGAACTCAAATTAACTCAGTTCAAAGCCCTTGATATACTTTCAAATAAACATTAAAATGTCCAACGAGTATACAGAACAATTATACATAGCTATCTAGGTAAAAGCCAAATGAAAAGTATTTCAGATCTTGAAAAAGACTAAGCCTACTTAAAGAATTCCAGTTAGCTCAGTTCCAGGGCATGACTACGAATATTCAGAGCAGTTATCAACAAATAAATTCCATATGTGAAACAAACAGCAAACAACAAGGCGTTCACAGCTCAACTTTAATCAGATTTCCACACTAATTTTAAATAAAATTGAATTGCTTTTTGCTTTCGCTTAAACACTTTTTGATTTAATTTACTTTTATGTTTTACACATTGTTTTTCGTTTCTTTTACATGTCACGATTGCTTTATGCAAATATGATTTTGATGGAAATAACACGACACTTAACACCAACAATAAACAAACACGACCGAAACTAACCACAGCAAACGCAATTGTTGGCCACTAATCCATTTTTAGCACTTAAACGGCAATGCAACAACAACAGCGGCAGCGGCAACAGCAGCGCCTGCAGTAAGAAATTACGACGACAGACCATCAGTGACCCCTACGCACATATCAAACGGCATTATGCCGATGCCGATGCCGATGTCGATGCCGCTGCCTCTATTACCAGCAGCAGCAGCAACAACAACCACAGCGCTGAAGCCTTTGCAGCCGACAGTCATTGCGCGACAGCAACATCGTTCACAGCAGCAGCACAGGTCGAACAACAAATTAACAACGGCAACAACAACAGCGGCAGCAATGGGTCTGGGCCTGGGCAGTGGTGTGGGCGTGGCAGTCATCAACAACAAATGCTAATGCCAAACGAATTGCTGCTGCAGGCAAGTCAATTAACTGCCGCCGACTGCAATCACAATTTAAGATATGTGCCGCCCCTGCCAACTGCCACGCCCCAAACACAACCAGTCGCCGGCGCCTACGATTGTCTAGTGGTGCGTCGCCCGATGCGCTTGCCACTGCGCAAACATCACACCTTCCACTTTCAGACAACGGAAACGGCCAACGGCAAGCTGCAGCAGCTGCGTCGCCAACTGCAGCAGCAGCAGCTGGAGCGAGCGCAAGGGCCGCTCATCTATCGTCCATTGGCGCTGAGCGAACGACATGCCTTTAAGCCAATTTCACCAACACCTGCGACAACAACAGCGGAGTATGAAAAATGCCACGACAACACGACACAGCGGCAACCGGTGCAACAATCGCAGCGACAGCAGCAGCAGCCGGCGATGGGTCAACTAAATCCCGCCGCCTCATTAGAGGCATTAGAGGTATTAACTAAAACGCATCCGGACTTTATGTTTGCGCGAACCAAGCCGCAAAGCGAGCCAATTGTTGCCACAGCACCTGCAGCAGCAGCCGATGTTGCTGAAGAGGAAGACGAGGATTTGGGCTACTCTTTCTGTGAAGAGGAGTACATGGTGGATGATGAGGAGAATGTGGATGAAGACGATGCTGCTGCGGAGGCGTCACATAATCTTACAGCGCCGCCCACGACGCCCGCCCACAGTGCAGCTGTGGCAAATGCAACAGCCGGTGCCCTGAAATACTTTATGACTCAAAGCTATCGCGAGGTGCACATTTGATAAGGGAAAACCTAGCAAAAGAATAGAAAAAAAAACCAAGCAAACGAAACCAAGACAGTTAGACAGGCCTAAATGACGCATACAAGGTATTTAGTAATTAAATAAAGCTAAAGGAATAAAAACATATTTATAATTAGCATAAATTCTTCGAAAATGAAATGTTAGCTTAGAGTTTAGCCTGAAGATAAGAAATTCATTGATTCAGCGAAAGGTTCTCAATGTGGAGGGAGCTTGCAGCTTGCCCAATTCGTCGCGTATTCCATCAACTTTTGCCAATGTTTTTACATATTTTTATAGTACTCACAACTATAGTCTATAACCGTGTATCAAGTAATTGTAATAGGAAATTTTGTGGCTGTCCCAGCGGCGGCGGCCCAAGAAGCAACCAAAATGAAGAAATCGAATAGACAAGCAAGTTGCCCCAAAGTCGGCGCACTTGTTTGTTAGTGTATATAGTTAGCTTAAATTAAAAACTTGATAAATCTAATATTTATTACTCCGACAGCGAGAGAGAGTCATCAGCATTCAACGATCATCTATAAAGCTAAATATTAAAGCTCTCCCCGAAGCACAACTAATTCATTCTCAAAAATATTCGAATTAAATATAGAAATAAACGGATATACCTAAGGCAACTCTTGACTGTACGTGTGTTAAGTTTGACGTAGTTTTTTGTGTAAAATATACTAAATATATGAATTAAACCATCTAGATATGTATGTGGAGAGCGTGCATTGTATATAGAATATAATCGAATAATCTAAGCAGCAGCAAAAAGTTTACAAATAACTAAAAAGAAAACCAAAACCAGAAGCCAAGCGTATTTATATATTTATTTATTTATTTATTATATTATATTTAAGATATATAATTTTAATTTAATTAAACTATAAATACCAAAGCAAAACTCGCAAATTCATTCACTCCTCAATCAAGCCTAACTGAAACATTTAAACAAAGTGCTAACAATTTGTTAATTATAATAGAAATATATGCTGAAGTGTGTTCTAAATGACGTATTCATTTCTTATAGCATGTGTCCGATTTTGAGGATCCATACAAAGGCAGCAATACCTATATATTCTAAATTCTTCTTTTGTGTAACTTTCCACTAAATGTTTCATGTCACAAAAATATCTATAAAAATGAAAACAAAGGTAAATTAATTTAATTCAATTTCTCTGTTACGGTAAATAAAAACCAAAATGTTAATAATTTATTTCAACTGTCGTGCTGTCAAATTAAAAGTCGAAGAAAAAAAAAGAATTTGTTAAATGGAATTGCGATTCTTGAAATCGTTCGATATGCTATGAAAACACACACTTCTCTATCTCTCTCTCATTAGCTTATTCACAAGAAAATACGACAGGCGTTATAGATTATTAATATGCATGTGAAAAGCGCTTTCTAACCAAATTTTGTGTTTAATTTTTGATTTGGTATTTGACTTTGACTCTTGACCTCTCATATTAGCCATTAAATGCCGCAAGCTTCGATGATGAATTCATTTATGCGGATCTCGAGAGTCAGCATTACGGGCCCATCAACTATAAGGCCGCCTCGCTCTATGCCCAGGTCAAGAAGAACAAGAAGACGGGCGCTCTGGACGAGCTGAAGCAAAAGTAGTCAGATGTTCGCTGGAACATCAACTTTCTTTCGCAGTGCATTTTGGTCAGTTTTAATTTTAATTTTACTTCTAATTTATTGTTGTTAATTTATTGATTTATGCTTTTGAGCTTCGTTTTTCCGCAAAGAGAAAAACTTACAAATCTAAAAGTGTTTAAAGCAAATGAATAACGAATTTCTTAACTTTATGAAGAACGATATTAATTGTTATAAAATATAATTAAAAAATCACAAAAAAAAAGGAAAAAATTGTACTTATATATAATTACATATGTATTTTATAAGTCGCGCACCAAATTAACTAGCAAAACACACACACATACACCCAAAAACAACAACAGTTTACATAGTTTTTATCACTTAACAACAAAACATAAACAGGCATTGTACTTAGCGTATATAAATATATATATATAAACTAAAAAAAATACCAATTAAAATCGAAAAGTAATTAACAAAACAACATTAAAATCATTAAAACAAACAACAACAAATTAAATATGCAAGAACCACAAACTTTATTTAAAAATTTAAACAACAAATAAACGCGAAAAAGCATCTCAAATACTTTTTATACAAATATTTCAAATCAACCGCAAAACAGAAAGCAAATAAATAAGATTACAAAAAAACACTTAAACTAGCATTAAAATTCATTTCATGATTTTCTAACTATACGAAAATTATTGTATAGAAAAACAAAAAATAAATTATTAATATTAACGGAACATCAAGTGGAATACCCAAAATGGAAAGTCAAATCAATTTTGTTATGCAATTTATTGTAATTAATTATAAATATTATTTATTATTAATTATGTGAAATACATCAAAAAAATATATAAATATTTATATATACATATGGATATATTATTGTATAATTATATACATACACGTATATATATAAATTATATAAATCAGCATTTACTTGAAAATGCCGAATGAAAAACAAAACTTGAATTACATATTAATTAAATTGATTAAAGCAAAGCAGAGAACAACCAAAAAGTGGAATTAAATTGAAGGTAAACAACTTAGACTCAAGTACTTATATATGTACATGTATATATATATATATATATATTTAATTATATATATATATGTATACATATAATGAATGAAGCCCCTAAATATACGAAGTAAAGTAAATTATGATGAAGAACAAGTAAATAAAAATAAATTGTAAAACTACAAATATCTAAAATTGTGTTTTTCTTTTAGCATTAAATCAGATCATGACTATGAGATGAAAGAGCAAATATATCAAACTATCTGTACATGAAAATTATCTCGCAATGTGTGGACCTACTAGCTGTAGCCTATCAGAGTTGACTGCATTGAAGCTACTGCTATAAGATTTGCCAAAGATTGTGCAATTCGTCGTTTGAAGAAGATGCTGACATAAATGAAAATAATAAGCGATATAAGCTGAAGTCGTCTAAATTCATTCTGATATCTGCTGGTACCTGTGCAGAGTAGTTGATGCTGTTTTAAGCTGTGACAGCTTTGATTTGCAAAAATATGAATCTTTTGTTGAATTGATATATTCATAGAACAGCTTTTAAATGTGGCCTGGCAGCCTGCCATATTTCACATTGCTTCTCTATTGTTATAGGCAATTAGACAAGAGAAGTGCACAAACGGATTTTGAATTACTTTTGTTCTAATTGCTGTTTCCTAATGAAATGTTCAGTGCGTAAAATAAATATTCAGAAGTCTGTCTTTGAAGAAGCTGCAGACTCTAATTGATAATAAAGTAATTTGTATAAAGTTGTCAAGAGTGGCAGTCGGAGAACGTTGATACTCTTTCAGGGCTCACTGAAGCTGAGCAGTAAAGCTGAGCAATAAAAGCATTGGAAAATTGAAAGAAAAAGCCAGCGGTTATCCACTTTTAAATTATTGATTCCGCAACAGAAAACTCACAAATTGCTAATATATAATTGATACAAAACAGTATCCATACTTCATAAGCATACACTTATGCAAAAGTTTTCAACAAATTTGGGCCTTAAAGTGCACAGAAAAAATATATATTCAGTACAATTTGCACTGTCAAAGGTAAACAAGACCAAAACTTCAGCTAAAGTTGCTTATATTCCTCCACACAAACCAATTAACATATTAAAAATGCCTTTCTTGTGATACTCAGATATTGTATAGTCTTTTATTCCATTTTGATAATCTATTTTATCCAGGAAAAATTTTAGTTTATGTTCTTTCCAATCTCTTTCCTACATCAACTCTTCGTGTAACTTCAGTTTAGCATCCCAAACATGAAGTTGTGGCGTTTTGACAAACGTTTCATAAATATGCATTGATATTTTGGCCATCGAGTATAAGTCACCTGCCAGTTTAGGAATCAGCTGAAGCGTAGAATTTATGTAAACTTTTAGTTTATTGAGGAGATTTTCCTGTGCTTGACTTTCAGGATGCAACATGCAAATTGCGAAAATTCCAAATCAGAATAGAATTTTTGCATATTAGTTGCAACACACACACACATACACGCAGGCAGCTGCAACTTGCAGCTCTGCGCCCATTCACAATTTTTATGCTCATCCTCTGCTTGATTTTCGTGCCGTGTGTCATTTCCGTGCAACGTAACTGAATTCGGTTATTGCTTCCTGCAGCGCTGCAGCGCTGTCATTTCCGTTGCTGCCAAACACACAAATACATACACACACACACACACACTATATTTATAGTCGAATCGAGTCGAGGTCATTTAGTAAAGCATTTTGCGTCTATTAATTGACGCTTAAAATTTCAGGTAAATTTTCCATCTGCATTTTGTGTTTGCCAAATTTTCATATTTGTTTTCAGCCGAAACTAAAAAACTTTTCACTTGTGTCATACTTCCGGTCACACACACACATACGTAGAAGAAAACCGCATTCATTTCCGCAATTTCATTGAATTATATTTAATTCTTAATGCATTTCAATTGTAGTTTTTGGTTTTTGTTTTACTATTTTGCAGCTTCATTTATTAGCAATATGAAATGGCCATGCAATTAGCATCAGTTCAGACAATTTGCTCTCGCAGACACAGACATGCTCTATATAGACTCATACCTGTTGTGTGGGCTAATTTTCTAAACAATTACGTGCCTAGTGAGCTCATAAGAACTCAAATATCAGAGCCAAAGCTCAGCCTGGCAATTGTTAATTGTGCCGGACTGCGAGCACAACAAACGGCTGGAACAATGGCCAACTGTTGGCCTGCTTTTGCTTCTTTCTCGACCCAAACTAATGGCCGTAATTCGCCTTTGCAGTGACCCCCAAATAAATGGACAGCTGGACACACAACACCTGCCGCCAGCCAGCCAGCTGCTGAGATGCAAAGGACAAAGTTTTCATCTCAACTTTTGTGCCCTTTCGCATACCCAGCAGCTATGAGGTGTGCACTCAAAGGGGTAGCATAGAGTTGAGCGAGGGTTTGTTTCAATTAATGTAAAAATAGCTAAGATAAATTTAGGAAAATTAGAGAAAATTTATAAAAATA